CTGGCCAACTGCATACACTATGTTTGCTTTCTACTTGAACTGCTTTAGCTTAAAGCAGCAGTTATACTCTGCAGACAGCTGGAGGCACCGTGGCCCCACGTAGTCATATGTTTATATGATTGTTTATAGTCTGCCTGACTGACGCTGGTGGAGGCAATCGTCTGCTCACAACCTCGCACTCACGATTTCTGTTAACGATTTCTGAGGCTGGTGGGTGAATGTATCCTCAGCAGCAGAGGGACTCTTGGTCTTCCTTTCCTGGGGTGTCCTCATGTCAGCCAGTTTCATCGCCGTGCTTGATGGTTTTGCGACTGCACTCGGGGACACATTCAACGTTTTAGCAATTTTCTGACTGACTGACCTTCAGTTAGTAATGATGGGCTGTTGTTTCTCTTTACTTAGCTGTTTGGTTCTTGCTATAATATGAATTCTAACAGTTGTCAAACGAGGCTGTCAGCTGATGGTCCCAACGCCATTAACACATAACTCCATATATCTTCATATATTTGATGTCTTCAGTTTGTAGAGAAAAATCATTAAATGAGAAGTTGTGTCCAAACGTTTGGCTGGTAGTGTGCTACATGATCTTACTATCAAGCACTGACTGTTTCTTTTACACAGCCAGTGCCATATATAGGAAAAGTTAATGATGCCACTGTTACCTTATGCACAAATACAGATATGATATTTCTAGCCTGACGCCTGATAGAAACGTAACGCCAGCTATTTTAATCCACTTCTAAGGCTCTCTACCTGTGTGCCTTTATGAGTCACGCTGCTGCTGATGAAGCAGGTGCAGTCAGAAAGTAAAAGCAAGATAGTGGCGGACAGTGATGAAACAACACAGACAGATGGAGGAGACTGAGAGGCAGAAATAGCACAGAGAGATGATAAATGGCAACGACGAGAATGACTTCACCACAGAAGATGGGAAGCACTTGCTCGGTCCTCCCACTCACTCCTCGTAGTGCCCAGTTCTCACAAGGAAATCACGTCTGCTGCCAAACAGGTGACGAAGCAGCAATTATGCAGCAATTTCTGCCGCTCTTCTGGACAGTGTTTGTGGCAGCAAATGATCTCAAAGAAAAGTCGTGATCAGACGTGGAGGAAAGAAAACGTCATTGTTTACCTTAAAAGTTTATACAGATATTGTTGTGTGATTTAAATCATGTAAATATTTAGTTCAAAATAAAAGAAAGATGGTGCCATAATTACACCTACACTGGCTGCTGGTTTACACCACAGCTCAGTGCTGCGTCACAGCAGGTTTTTGCCACTTTGCACTATTTACGTGTTCTGGAAATCCTTAAGCTGTTATCAGTGCCCGTGTATATGTATGTGTGTGTGTATATGTATATATTAGGGGTGCAACGATGCACAAAATTCACGGTTCGGTTCGATACTTTGGTGTCACGGTTTGATATTTTTTTGATACAAAAAAATGTTCATGCCTTTTTAATTTGTCATTTATTAAAATTA